AATCAGAAGGATTAGACGCAGACATTCTCACAAGAATTCTTACAGCTTGAGAGATTAGGTGACCAGCTATCAGAGCAATAAATGCGTCTCCACGGCCAGAAGCACAGAACCCACGATCAGGGCGACGGCTGAGATTCACCGGGATTTATGGGGTCACACCACCATAATTCACGATCCCAAATGTCGATTGGACTCCCTACTTACTCAAATCAGGCTCCACCATGCAGATTGTCAGCCTCGATTACTCCTCCAGGAACTCTTCCTATAAATACAAGGCTCAAGACTACGTTCAAAGGGTTCAAACACCAAACCAAAGCCTCCCACGGAGCAACTTATATTTTCCTGTAATGCACTTTCAATATTTTACTTGCTTTCCTAGGAGTAGTGTTAGTCTGTAAGGAAAATCCGTTCATCAATATATCATACGAGCCTTGATTTTCAAGGCGCCGGAGCACCATCCCTGTTATTCGCTCATTCACCCCATATATCATACGACCGTCGCTCACTGAGCAACGCGCCGGAGCACCGCCCTAAACCCACCATCAACATCACTACTAAACGGCCTTGTAGCTCAGGCCGTGAACCTGATGGCCGAGATTAGTTCCTCTCTCGGCCACAATCGTTTGATTAGAAGTCAAGTCCAAACAGGCGCACCATTTCACCACTTCCATCCAAACCACATCTCGACGCACGGTAGACCGTGCTGGCACGCCCGCGCACAACCGCACCGCATCCAAAAGCAGGAAGCCGCGTGTCAACGCATATCCCCTCGGCCCGGAACTCCAGGCCGTGAGATTTGCGCGGTAGACAATTCCTTGACATCTTTTTTCTTTTCTTGCAAGCCTTCTCTTGATACTTGTCTTCTTTGATTTCAATCAATTAATTTTGATTGCAATCTACTCTTAATGGCCACCAAATCTCTCTTTGGCATGCAATCAATTTTATTTAATTATTTTTCTTTTTGGTGTGTGAAAATTTAACGCCAAACACAGAGAGACTGTTGAATTTGAACCAGAGCAATTAAGAGATGAAGAAACCAGTGCCTTTGCAAGTATGTTCAACTTTCACCAGGCTTCTCAAAGTATTGGCTCCTCCTGCTCCTGCACTTCCAACTTCAACAGCTCGAAGATTAATGGCTTCCAACTCCAACGCTGACATGGCCAAGGCCAAGAACATCTCCTCCATATCCTTCTCTTCCTACGGTGATCCTGATCGGTTCATAATTGTATATTATTTCTTACCCTTCTAGCTTATGATTTGGTTATGTTTTTGAGTTAAACTTGTGCTTTTAATCCTTTTTGTGTTTATCTTTCAGTTAATTGAGCTTTAGGTAACAATGATGGCTTTGGAGAACATAATTCATGCAATTCAAGCATGTTAAGGCCTAATTTGGATGAAT